GACATATTCGTTCATGTCAGGTTTTAAACTTCCTCCAACGGAATTTATAATGTAAGAGTACAAAGGAACCTGAATTTTCTATCTATCTCCGACAAAGATGGTTGGACAGGGTAACATGAAAGGTCGAACACCTTTGCACAATATGACCCCCAAAAAGGTGCTCATATTTTGACCCGGAAAGGGGTTAGGCCCCACGGGACCCAGATTTCGGGCCAGTCTGACCCTGGTGTTTTTAGAGTGAATAATAGCCACATCTGGATGTCAAGTAATAGATCAGTTGTGCATCATAACATTACATTGGCTATATTCAAGATTAAAAATGCATCAGTGAATAAGCGGGGAGTCATTAACAATGTATGTATAAAGAATGAAATCAAATTAATAATACTGCAAGTTATTTTGCCTGAAATTAAGATCAGGTTTTTAGCGAAAGAATTTGGCTCTTAAACGGATGCTAAAACGACGATCAAAGTTTGCGCTTTTCCGTCATTCAGGGCCATCGTGCAATTCCACAAACCTCAGGCAATTTTCCGCCTCAAGGCAAACAGCCCACCCTGCTTCATGTCATCAATCTTCTCGTTCATGCACAGAAAAGGATATTTATTAATTTTAGCTTCATGAATGATTTCAAGTTTCAAGATCTTTTATTTGACGGTGTATCATTACTGCTTTTCTGGAGAGGAAAATAACTTCAAAATGTTTCTTTAACTTAATAAAAAGAGTTTCCATTAGAGCCAAATGATTAAAACGAGCGTGAGTACAGCATAATTGAACTAGACATCCCTCAAAATATAACCAAACCGCACCCTTCTTGTCATTTGATTCACCTAAATGGTCCGTGATTCACCGAGCCATGTGAGTCTACGCCGACCTTGCGTGCTGAAGTGTGTGTACTTCGCCGGTTAAGGTTCGCCTCATGATGTCATTAAACTGCAAACTATAGTAAGCAGGAACAAACTGTACAACCATAGAGCAAGGATCCGTACTTCCAAATCGCGGCATGTCGCTGATTGATTTTTAGACCGAGTACAAATTAAGACATCAAAAAGAAGACACTGCATTGCAAACACAGGTCAACTCTTACAGTACGCAATGGAGACGTAGGATGACAATTCGGTGCATGGTCGCACTGCGGCGGCCCTTCACGCAGGCTACTACTGTTTCCTGCCCGATCAAGAAGGTCGGGACGCACTAGGGACCAGGCTGGGTTGATGTTACGTCAATCACGGTCGATGCACTGAGGTAATTGCCTTCAGGTCTCAAAGGGGCATATCCACAGCAACATGTAGGGAAGGGGCCAAACTTCGGGCAGGGAGAGTCGATAAATTTGATGGTATCTTTATCGACTCTTGCAGGTGTGAGGTTGAATTGGGGGGGGGTTATACGCTTTGGGGAGAACAGCACATGAATAAGCCCGAAATCGTCCTTTTCGTTACATTTCTATTTAAACAATTTTTAGGTTAGGGAAAGTCGCTCGAAACAAACAAACAAACAAACAAACAAACAAACAAACAACCCAACAAACAAACAAACACCCTGGCACTGCTATAATTTTTCAGAATTAATTTTTGGGTCAAATTGACGCTTGCTTTTAGAGACAAGAATGGAAGCAACATTTTAGGATCAACAGGTTTGAAAAAGGCCGATGAAAAAACACTGTCAAGACTTGGACAAGATCAGAGCCCTAAAGTTGAGCAAACACCATTTTCTGAATACACTACGACTACATTAAAATCTCCGTAAATATCAGCAGGTTATTCGATCGCCTGTGGGGAAAGTCAAACCTTTTTTTTGCACTTCAAATGAAACAACATCATTTCATCAACAATTTCATTTACATAGTCTCGAAGCACAACTGTACGTCATAACGTCAAAGGACGACCTATCCTTTAAAAACGATCAATTCACAAAGGCGAACAGCTTGTCTGATTAAGTTGTCTCATTTTCAGATTTTCACACAATGACACTTACTCCCACAATTTTTTTGAAAGCCATATCTGAAAGGTCCCCTTTCCCAGCATTTTTTTCTCCGGGAATTCGTCCGTGTGTCCGACAACAATTACACAATTCCGAGAGATAAGGACTCCCCGTCAAAATTGTGACTGTTATTTCTAATCTTTTCGCCATGGGCATCGCCATTCATTGGAACGTCACCGCACAGATTCACATCGCTGTGCATGTATTTTATATTTTACATAAAAAAATTAAATAAAATAATTGTCAGGCAGCCTCAAACAAATACAATCATCGAAGATAATTTCTCAAAGCCAGAACCCTCCAGACATATTCCCACGCAGATGTGTCAAATGGACTACGTAATGGCAACGTTTATAAAAGATCAGATTGATAACCTCGACATCAACTATTCAAATTTAGTCGTTCTGATGCTGAAAATATCGATGACTGTTTCAATGAGAGAAAAGGGCGTCGGAGAAAAAGTCTGTTATACGGACCGCTGTCAGAGCACTCAGTAATAAAATGCAAGACCAACCTAACATAAGAAACAACGCAATTACGTGTATTTGAATCTGATATTTCTTTCCGGTGAAAGCTACGTACAAAGCGATGTCTCTCTAGAGATGTTTCACATTATACTGACTTGTAACTTATCGACCCTCTTCGATGTAATGATATTTCAACTGAAGCCCACAATTTTTCACTTCAAATCCAAGGGAATTTACACTGTAATCCAAACAATATTGTGTTGAATATAAAAGTTCATGGTATCTCCATGTATGTAGGACCATCGGTTCTATACAGGTTCTATCTGCAGAAAAACAAAAACTAAAACCATGTAGCATATTTTTAGCAGTCGAACTCCGATAATGATTTAATGGCGCATCCTGGGGAATTATGTCCCAAGTCTCTGTATTCTTCATTTTTTACACTGATAATAGCATGTCCCTATAATAACAAGATATCTCTTCAGTCCAAATTCCTTATAAAGGTGTTAGACAGGTTTTCTTTGTATACGTATCTCGGAAGGGCAATGATGTGCTACAAACATTTTCATGAGGTGATGGATCGAAATTTTATATTTTTATTGAATGGGGCTTTTTCTTTGCACTGGACGAATGTGAAGCATTCGTTATTTACTTTAAACGGTGCTTAGTCACTCAAAGAAATGAAATAAATCATACATCTCCTTGCAAGTCCCAAGGACAATAGAAGGACCAAGAATCAGTCTATTTTGGAGTTTATGTTTCAGAGAACCAAGATTCAAGACAGACAGAAAAAAATTCTCCTAGTTAGGTTTGGTTTTAGCAAGCGTGCCCTCCATTATGTCATCGTACATGTACCTCAAATTACCCGCTTGCATGATGGCAAGTGTGGTCTGTGTTCTGAAAGACAGATATCGATTTCACACAGGGAACTGGCGATTCTTAATTGTGCAGCATGTGAACGGAAACAGAAACATGAATTTTTTAAGAGTAATTTTTTTTGGGGGGGTCCTGAAGGGCGCATTTCTGACGGAATACGTTGAGTGATGGGGAGACATAATTATAAAGGACAATAAATTGGCCACAAAACGCAGCGAAGACTGCACTTATAATGAAGTGCATTCGGCGACAGAGTGATTTACTCTGATCTACAGACTTCATTTAATCTATCAATCTCTTTAATAGTCAACATGCAAGGCATGTTCGATGCCTCGTGTTACTAAATTTATACAAAATGGATAAATATATCTGTACGGTCTGCTTTTTTGCAACATTTTCATGCTATCCGAAATTCTCATTTCAGCAAGAAAATTTCAAATTTGTTTCCTCTCGATGCAATTATTTTCGAAATAAAAAGAAGCAGTTTGAGTTTATCAGCGCGAAATTGCAATTTTACTCACAATGCATGGAGAATTGCTTGTACATGTATAGAAACAGTTTGAGTTTATTAGTGCGTAATTGCGTTATTGCTCAAAATGTATGGACAATTGCTTTTATATGTAGAGAAACAGTTTGAGTTTATTAGTGAGTAATTGTGTTTTGCTCAAAATGTATGGAAAATTGCTTGTACATGTATAGAAACACTTCGAGTTTATCAGTGAGTAATTGCGTTATTGCTCAAAATGTATGGAATATTGCTTGTATATGTATAGAAACAGTTTGAGTTTATCAGTGAGTCATTGTGTTTTGCTCACAATGTATGGAAAATTGATTTTCCTTTTACTATATAGAATAAACAAAACTACAGCACAGCTTAAGTTTTGAAGCATGACCTTAGCGGATGCACACAATCTTTATGTACATGTACTGTATATAAATTTCTTATATGACAACGGATACCAGCATCAAGCACCCTTTTGTAGCACATTTAGCCTGGTTTGCCTGGTTAAAAAGTTAAAAGTTAAAAAGCTAAAAGCTCAAAGGAATGAACACGTCAACTCTATTACTCTTTAAAGCTTGAACAGGCACAGAGCACAATGTAAGAATCGATTACGGAGAGGGGTCTCAGCAATTTCAAGAAAATGCTAAATCACCTGACTTTCGCCTGAAGTCATACCCTGCAGTACATTTAGGCCAATGAAAAATCGAACTACAAATCAAGCACATTAAATAATTCACAAGAATCATTTAACCATCCATTTGGTCAAGTGTTTGCTTTTGTTGGAGATTTAAGTCAATGGCAGCATTCATTTCAGAATATAAATGCGAATAATCTAAAAGTATTTAGACAGTTAAATACCAATCATATTGCAATGTCTGGCGCAACCAGGGCCAATTTCAAAGCGCTGCTTGAGCAAAAAGTTGATTTAAGCGAGAAAAACCCTTGCTTGACAAATCAGGCTACCAGGCAAAACTTCTTGTTATATATATTGTTTTGGAATGGTATTTACATGTCTTTCGGTTAGCATGACAATCACAGAGTTTGAGCTGGTAACTTTTGTTTATTAGGCCTTAGCAAGGTTTTTTTTGCAAGGAATTTCGTGCTTAAGCAAATTTTGTGCTTAAGCAGCTCTATGAAATTGGCATCAGTATGTTGCAATCTGCTGAAGGTGCACTTACCATCGGATATTTGTAAAGTGGAGACGGCAGTGTAGTGAATTGTTGTAAGCATAGTATTCGATGCTTTCGTTTTGTCCAAGTGTCAAGCCAGGTAGGGAAGCAGCAAGCAGCTAAAATCTGGTATAAAATTAAATAATTGTACAGGTTGAGAAATAACAATTGTAACAAATGAAAACTCAAATCTGACAGCCAACAACATAAAACAACCGTTCGAGTCATCTTCAAATGTCATCAGCCTTTACAAACTTTGGTCACCAATGTGTACGCGGACACTTAATGACAAAGATATTCGCTGTTGATTTTGGAAATAATGTAACTATCGCTTCCGATAGTCCAATCCTGCTCCACGATAAATGGATGTCTTATATAATTGAGGAAATCTAGATGTTAAATCATACCCCCGATGCCACACGCCGTGCATGTGTGGGTATATATATGTGTGTCAACACCTTCAATTAAACTAAACTTAAAAGTATGAAACATCGGCTGCCCTGAATGGTAGCACTAAAATCAAAATCAGCCGCAGGAAAGTTTAACTGTTTCCTTAAATGACTTCCTAAAATGTAAAACTACAAAACCCAGGAACCACATCGATGGACCGACAGAAAACCTTTACAAGAAGCCTTAATTTCAGTGCGACAAACACAGAATACATTGGCACATATACGGTTAATTGCTCATTTTGAATTTTTCTGACGTCAGGCATACATTTTCAAGGAATGGGGATCTAGGAAGGTCTCAACAGCAATTCTGATCTGATATTTCCCCAAAACGATGAAGATTCCAGATGCCACCTCAAAAATGGTGGTTACGACGGCTGAAATAGCTTACTAGTCAAAGAGAGCGCCGCGATTTACAACTGTGAGACTGTTTTCCATCTCTTGACACTTAGCAGTCAATCCCTCCATTTCCGTCTCGGGTGTCAAGCGCTTAGCTAAGCACATGGGCCGTTTACGCTGTGTCGACCCATGGACTTCCAACTAGGCGATCTGTCATCCTCTTCAACCGACGAAAGACAGCCAATATTCTTGAGTCATCTTTTCTGGACCTGTACTCCTCCCTCTGCATAAGCAGACGGCCTCCCGCACAAAGGCCACGAAACCAGCAAAATTTAAGATCAAATGGCGCGTGACGGTTGCTGTAAACGTCACGGATGACATCATCTCCGGGTGTTAAATAACAATGAGTGCACTCCGATGCCCAGACTATGTGCGGGTATCCCAACAGTAGCCTATCGTCAAGCCCTTTCAATGCCGTCGTCCGATCCATTTGTGAGGAATTACACGGGCATATAGGGTGGAATCAGGCTGGTACCACAAGGTTTACACAAAACACAACGATACTGTATGGCAAAAGCCGGATTATAAGCCACTAAACTAACTGTGCAAACATTGTACGTTATGGATGATCGTCGTTCTTCCACCGAACAAGGACAGGAGTTCCGTATGAAGGCATAGCGTTGGAAGACAATCTTGATTAACCTTATATCACTTGATGATTCACTACACGCTTGAACACTTGGGGCTTTCTACAGGGTGCTTTCAAAAGCGAAACGAGAGGTGTGTGAACATCCTGCTGCATCAATGCAGCCAAAAGGGCATGGTTGGTTGAAGCTCTGGCCATCAAGCAGCAAGAGGACTATCGGAACTGATTCATCGCTGGTTACAATTATGCTTCGCATCATGATTGACATTTTTAGTGGGTCAAGTTTACCACCAAAAAGGCTATCGACCAGAGCAGAGTGATCTAGGGTGATCTTGAAAGGCTATCCCCTAAGTATTGTGAGAAGTATACTTTTCCTGTTTGTATTATGCAGATCAACACCCACACAGGTATCAATGTCATGCATAGCGTGGTCCTTTGTCGCTTACCAACAGTTCTGGGGTACCTGGACGGGTGATGGTTTATGCATTAATTTTGTAACACTGCCCGCAACAAAACAAGCAGCGGTCGAGCTATAACTATTTTGCATATGTTCAGCCCCCCCCCCAAGTGAGTCCCTATTACAGGTTGTGGGCAGCAATTTCCAAGTATGGGTTGCTTCAATTATCTGCATTGTTCACTTTTGGTTGTAGCTAAATGCCACGACGACATGCAATTTTGGTAACCCACTATATCGGCACATTATAAACTGACCTGAAACATCAAAACAGCGTCACTACTATATTCTAAGTGGCTCCGGGGCTTTTACACAAATAGGCCTGTATCATTACGAGTGTCTGTGCTGATTACCTGCTTAATACCATCATTACTGCTTTCCTTTGCATATTACATGTAATTTGGATGGTAGGCCTACTTTCACCTTGAGTATGATAAATATACAGGTAGGCTGACTTACGTAGTTCGAAAGTAAAAAGAGGGAACTATGCATGTTTTAGGCGACGTGGTATCACTCTATACAGTCACGTTAGTTTACTTCAACTTAAGAAGGCGCGCACATTTCATCGAATCAAACCATTCTAACACCCTGTTGGTACTTCCGATCCGACTACCAACCAATGTTAATAAACAAGGCATTTACGGCAAAATGCCACACTACCGGTATTAAGCATGCCGGTGATGTATTATAATAGGCAGCCGAATTTCGTAACCACTTCAGTATCATTATGTGGGGCCTTGAGTTCCAAAACAAAACCACAAAGAGAATTCGGTTCAGCTGCAAAGCCGCTAATTTCAGTTGCCAGAATCGCCGATACATGTAGCTGTAATCCTGGTTAAAAAGTGTTCAAATCTCGGAACACAAGCTAATCTAACTTGTGACCAAATTGATTCCGGAGGCGCAGGGGTATAATTATGATAACAATTAATGGTAACTTCAGAGCATAATATTTTGTCAGCAGCGTTGTGCACATGATAAGCAGCGCCAAATGTACACACGAAAGGACTTTTCTTTTTCTTTTCAATTTCAAAATCCATCCATGTGTAGGTTACACTGGGTACCAGATAAAACTTAGTATTGAGACTGCTATGTATTGCAATAATATTTACAGCGGCGGTAGGAATGGAGACCGAAAGAAAGATTATCTCCTTGCGCTTCCCGTCTTCTCTAATTCACTTCTTAGTTTGCGGCGGAGCTATAGAAACAAAACGAAGTGTTTAGTCCATTTCCTGTTCAAAACAAAAGGATCGTCCTGCTGGGCAAAGTTTATTATGCCCCGTCCAGTGTTGGCATTTATTCTGCGGATGCATTAAATGTACAGCTGCACTTGACAAATGATGGGTCGCACGATCGAGGTGTGATTTGATTTTCAAAGAGCAAACACGTGTACTACTTAATCTCTGATCAATCAAGCTTGTCCAATTTTTATCATTTGGAATACGTAACCGTGTATCGGCAACATTTTTTTTCGTCGAAATATTAGGGATTCTCTTCGGTGCATAGACGCGTCCGGACGAAGGAAGTAGATGCTGCTGCCAAGGGGTAGGCATACCTGACGTCTCGTACGGTCCAATTTTCCCTCAAATAGGGCCTCTGAATAAAGCGTCTAGTTTGGCAAATCGCGTGACGTACTACGCGGCAAAACCCCGTGCCTGCGGTCTTTTAATAACAATCCAAACTTGAGGGGTGGCTGGCCCATATGTACATGCGCCTGAGCCGCGCAGGAGGTATGCAGAAATAGCGTGTCATATATGTACCTTCAGCACCCTAAAGGCCAAAAGAGGTACAGTTCACAGGATCGAATAATCAGGAACATACAATGTCGATGTACGGCTCGAAGTCTGCATTTGTTGTTGGCAGGAACCAACAACTGGGAAAATTCTCATGAAGAATTTGAGGTCCGGTTTCAAGCATGCAGATGATCGTTTTTGCAAACTAGACAAAATCTACATGGTTGATGAGACTTAACCCGAATGTGCACAAACAATACGTAAATGCACGTATTTTACAAAATGTTTTCATTTTGATATTTTTGGCCTGCCACCACAAAACGCGAATTCAACTGCAATGAAAAAATGTCACCAAAGACTTTCCTTTTTGAAGTATCAGCCTCAGCAGCGTAAATGATTCTGGAGGCTACACTCATATAGCCGTGGCATAATATTACTATATCCATTTGTCAGCAGAAGACAAGAACATCATTAAAATGATTACTGTGCTGTGTAGAAATCAGACGAGAAAATCGAAGGCGTAAATGGAGAACATGAACATGACCGTGTAAGGCCTATGTCTCTACAAGGGGAATTTAAAAGCATGGAGAATCTCCTTATCTAAACATCCACAAACATCACGCAACCGTGAAGTACGTAGATTTCTTCCCACTTCACACAAACGATGACATATCGTTTATAGAGTGTATACTGCGTTCCCACTTTGTCATGTACACGTTGAGAGGACAGAAATCCGCATTCTCTCCACTTCAATTTCTTCCAGGGGTATCCCAATTTAAAAGCATATCACGAGATAAGGTGAAATCGCGAGCTGGCCTAATTGAGGTACGACAGCAACTAGAGCTCGGGGGGTCGATCATTTCATCAGCTCGGTGCCAGAGCAGAGATGAGGTGATAACGTGCGTGGGTTTCAGCAGAAGCATGCAATGCGGCGCAACGAACGCAGGGCGCGGTTTCGTTGCTGTCTACCTTCCCGGGAATGTAATATTTTACGTCTGGGACTTGTTGCAAGTCTAATCAAAGCCCTCGAGTGTCGGACCATTCGGATGTGACGGAAACAAAATGATGCTTCGCGCCGATAAGGCGTCAAGGGTGCTATATTACAAGCCAGTTACAACGCCAATAATTCATTACACAACAAGTAATCCACGTAATCACAATTCAAGGAATGATGACACACGGTAAAATCAAATCACCTCTTATACGTGATATTAAAGATCCAGAGAAAGTAAACTTCACCACAACTTGACAAGATGTTGCAGATGGAAAAGAATATAAAATTATGAACAAACGCTTTAGCGCCAAGAATGCCGCTTATGTTTTATTCCAAATTTCTAAAGTTTAGTGGGGTAAGAGTCACGTGGAAATTGACTGTCTTCAGTAATTTTTGTGCAAACATGGGTGCCTTCTACATGTATACGGACAAACTGAGACCCCAGCTCGTTCTGATTATTAACAATTATTTTAGCGTCCTTCAGATCTACATTATTTTCCTGACGAGACTTGGTTTAAGACGCGTACAAATTCTGAAGCCCAATAAACAGTGAGAACACAATTGTATGCACGATGTTTGCTTACCACAACGATGAGTGACCGAAGCAAATGGGTTCGATACTTGAAATAAAGTCACTGTTTTGCTCATGAGTAAGAAAATTTGCAATAGCATGGCATCCAACAAAAACCCTAAACGTCCGAAATATCAAACACGAAGATGGAAAGTACAACGGGCGGGATGATTAATTTAAAGAAGAGAAAAATCGCTAACCCCCTAGGGTGAATGTAAAATCATATTGAAATCGGACGATTTGGAATTGTCAGGGCTAAACATTCCATACCACGGGTCCTTTTCATGTTCATATCTTAATTTCCCCCGGTTTCAGCAGGAAAATGTAACATGATACTTCGTCGGGGTAAAAAAAATACAAATGCACTCTGGGAGAATGCAAGCGAGGAGAGTGTGAAGCGAAAACTCAACGGGAGGTGGCATTCTCTACACCAATACAGACGTCGGTGTGCTGGCTGGTTTTTCCAACTTTGCGCCCAAGTGCTTTTGTCATGGCCGAGCTGGAGAGCACGAAGCTTGCGTCATCTATCCCATCCGTTTGCAATGAGACCTCGACCACACTCACGCGGAAGTGGAAAAAGAGTTGTGTTTAGCAGTCACTACAGAAAATTATATCGGCTCGTGCACTTTTTGCGTACTTGCCCCAGTTGCGGACGTTCGTCCATGAGGTGCACTTTAATGGTTATTGTCGGAAAAGACCTCAACGACACACGGAATTCAAGCAGCCTATTGATTCAGCTGCAGGTTTGCGCTAGGCGCGTGCGTACTTTAGAATGCTAAAGTATGTGCTATGTACCGCCTGACCGTCTACTTACCGAAAATATCTCGATACATGTTGACAACGGTCAAAGCAAGCCGAGATCTACA